AGTTCCATAAGTCGAAGATAGATTACCTCGGGTACAGGATCTCAAGCGATGGGATAGAAATGGATCCACGTAAAGTCCAAGCTATAGTTGAGTGGCAAGCACCGAAAACCAGGAAACAACTCCAAAGTTTCCTTGGTTTCGCAATTTCTATCGCCAATTCGTCCCTGCATTTGCCGCTATAGCACTACCGTTAACAGACCTGTTACGCACTAAATCTCCTGTGATAAAACCAAGACCAAACCAGTTATTGCAGTGGACAGCTCAATGTCAAAGTGCGTTTGAACAGTTGAAATATCTTTTTACCAGAGAACCGGTACTTAAACACCCTGATCTGTCTCGTGAATTCATCGTTCAAGCCGATGCTAGCGACATTGCTGTGGGAGCTGTGTTGCTGCAAAAAGATGAACAGGATAGGATACGCCCTTGTGCTTATACCTCACGTAAATTAAACACCACAGAGCGAGGGTGGGCGATCTGGGAAAAGGAGGCCTTCACTGTCCATTGGGCTCTACTTACATGGTGTCACATCCTGGAAGGGGCTACTATCCCATTTGAGGTATGGACAGACTATAAAAATTTAGAGGCATTACAAACGCCTAGACGTCTGTCCCCAAAACAACTATGCTGGGCACAATATTTTCGAAGATTCAATTTCAGACTCAAATATGTGCCAGCAGGAAAGAACTTCCTCGCCGATGCACTTTCTCGTATGCCACAATATAACAGTAAGTGCGAGGAAGTAGTGGAATCTCTTATACCACCTATTGAGAGTGGGCATGCGGTTGCGGCGGTGTTACGGAAAGAAGCATCCTTCTTAACGAATCTTCGGATAGCTATCAGCCAGGATACGTGGGTAAATCAAAACCAAATGTCAGTAATCTTACGAGATGGATTAGGGTGGAATGGGGATCGTTTATACATTCCAGAACCGCTTCGAACTACAGTTTTAAGACGGTGCCATGATGCCAAACCAGCAGGTCATTACGGTTTCCTTAAAACACTTCACCTGATTAGACGTCAATTTTGGTGGCCACGAATGCGTGGTGAAATTGAACGTTATGTTAAATCATGCCCCACATGCGCGGCAGCAAAACCATGGTCAGGAAAACCACTCGGTCGATTACAATCGGTGGCTGATCCTAGTCGTCCGTGGGAGGAAGTGGCGATGGATTTTATAGTGGACCTACTGCCCAGCAATGGACATACCGTTATTTGGACAGTAGTAGACCTATTTTCAAAGCAGGCGCATTTTATACCCTGTCGGGGTTTACCATCTGCCCGACGATTGACAGACATGTTTATACAACATATCTACCACCTTCACGGGGTCCCGAAGCGTATTATATCAGATCGGGGTGTCCAGTTCACCGCCCAGTTTTGGAGATCTTTCATTCACAGGATAGGGTCCACTCAAGGATTAAGTTCAGCCTTCCATCCCAGTACAAATGGAGCAGCTGAACGGGCTAATGCCGCTGTGGAACGATATCTACGTTGCTACGTTTCGTATCAGCAAACTGATTGGTCTGCCTTACTCCCGTTCGCTGAAGTCGCGTACAACAATATCAGCCACCGTAGCACGGGATTTTCTCCTTTCCAAATCATCTATGGAAGAGAATTCCCTGCCATACCTGAGGTAGAACCTCCAGCTACAGGGGTATCTACACATTCCGGTTGGGCCGACAAGATCCGACAAACGTGGCCAGCGGTAAAAACGGCGCTTCAAAAAGCAGCAAATGAATACAAACTTTATGTTGATAAAAAAAGAGCCGACCCAAAACCATTTTCTGTAGGGGATCATGTGTATCTATCGACAAAATACTTGAAATTACGATTACCTAGTAGGAAACTAGGTCCCAAATACATAGGTCCTTTTTCTATAATACGTGTGATCAACCCTGTCACTGTCATGCTTAAGCTACCTTCACTGTTAGGAAAAATACATCCTGTTTTTCATAGCAGCCTCCTTAAACCTGTCAAAGAGGAAAGGCCCACACATCAGCCTGTTTCCCCGGGACCGAGTCATTCAGATCAATATGAGATAGATAAAGTATTGGATTCACGTCTACGTAGAGGCAGGTTACAGTACTTAGTACGGTGGAAGGGTTATCCACTAGCACAAGCATCTTGGGTAGCAGCTCCAGACGTTCATGCCGACTGGTTGCTCCGTCGGTATCATCGTAAATATCCAAATAAACCAGGTCCCAGTGGGTAGAACGGTTGCTATGCTAACATCTTTATTTTATTTCCTGCAGGTGGACTCCTGGTAGAGAGGAGCCACCTGTCGAGCCTTGGTTGGATCTCGCCATCACTAGGGAGGACGACGAGGAGGGGGCAAGCTGTTGGACTCTCCGGGGGCATGTCATCAGCTGTTTGAGAAGTCTTTACCACCCGCACACAAAACGAAGCAAACTCTTTCATCGGAGATGGGGGGGCATGGTGTTTGCAGATGACGCTGCCTTGTGCTGTAACAGAGGCGCGCTCCTCCTACAGGCCAGCTTGCGGAAGGAGGGATGATGTTGACTGTTTGATTGTTAATTGATTTATTGTGCTCCTCCTTCAGGCCAGCTAGGGGAAGGAGGGGTGATTGCCACTTGATTTATTGCTGTGTATATAAAAGGCGCTACACTGCGATTGCGTGTAGCGCTAACTTTAAACCTTGTTTCCGGCTTGTGCCTTCTCCTGCCTGTGTTTGCTGTGCTGAACCTAATTAAAGGATTGCAACTGCTTTATTCCGTCTGGTGTTGGCTTGTTTCCAGTGCAGTTGGGTGGACTGGCCGAGACCTGTTCACTTCTCCATATCATAATTGCAATTTTCTACACAGCCTGCCAATAATTTATGAGGTTCTTAAAGCTATAAAAATAAATTTCACTCTGCCTCTTTTGGAGCAACTCAAAGCAGAGCAGTGGCATTCAGTATATGACATTCCTTTCTACCACTTTACTTAAGTCAAATACCATGAAAGTATTCCTTCAATCCCAGAAAATGTAATATAAAAGTCACATCTGTGTGATTTGTTCTTTCACGGCTGTGAATGTTCAAATGTAAGAGTCTGAGAAATGTTGCTATATTAACAAACTTGTGTTCGGCTAAAATTTCCCAAAATAGTCTTGATGTAATTTTGGAGCAAAGTTTGGGCATGTCGAGACTCAACACTCGGGTGGGAAATTTTGGATTGTTAAAGTGAAAAGAACTTATCCTAAAAGAATTCTTTTAGATTTGACAGAAATGTCATCCTTGACTTTTGACCTTCTATAGTAGGCATATTGATCAGTAGGCAGGTATTGTTTTCAAACTATTTGCAACTAGTAATTATCACAGCTAGCTACAGTTCAGATGAATCTGAGACCATGGAAAATATTCAGGGAAAACTGCAAAAACCCCATCCCAAGAAGGAAAACTCCAATCATTCAGGCAGCTGAGGCTGATATACACAGCATTCATCAGAACCAGGTGCACCTACTGTCAGTGAAACCAAAGCTGGAGAAACTGACCTGATGTAGAATGAGTAGCAGACTACATAGGACATATTCAGAAAGGATATATAAAGAAGACAACATTTTATATCAGATTTATATCAGATTTGATCATTCTGAATACATGGCTTCAACATTTAATCTATGTAATGCTGGTAACATCTTTCAGCATTTTATGAATGATGTTTTCCATGACCAGCATTTCATAATTATCTGACATACTCATATACTCTGTTCTACTCCAAACATGAAAAACACATTCAGGCTTTATTACAATGTCTATGAAAGCATTGTCTCATTGACAGACAGGAGAAATAGAGCTATAGATCTTTTGGGCCACTACATATCCCCTATTGGCATTAACCTGCACCATAACAAGGTAAATACCGTCCAGATGTAACAATCCCAAATATGTCCAAAAACATGCTTGCTTATCAGTCATAAAAATTTCTATAACAGCTTGGCAATTATAGAAAATTCATACTAAATTTTATGGATCTTGTTATACTATTGAACTACTTGCTATGCAAGAAAAATTATTTCTTTAGGGTGAAGTGCACAAAAGTCATTAAAATCTCTGAATACTATCTTTTCATCCAGATGTCACACAACTATTTGTTTGGGAAATGATTAATGTGAATGTCACAATTAGGGAAGTGTTACTCAAATTAATTGGCACTCATCCATTTTGTTTTCATATGTGCTTTTTGAAATGTGGTGACATCTTCTGGAAAGCATATTTGTACCCTATCAGAGATACAGACCTCCAGAATTTAGAACAATGGCAAATGGCTTGAGAACTGAGCCAGTAACAGATTGTATAGTCATTAGGTATTAAAATTAATAAATAGCTATAATTGTCTGCATCACAATCCAGCACAATCTATACATATATTCTCAGAAATGCTTGCTGCTATTTATTGTCACATGGATTTCCTAAAGGAGAAACAGGAGAAACTGAATCAAAAATCATAAGCCCATACCTACTCAAACTTTTAAAGTGTACCTGCTGGACAGCCAAGTGCTTTGACAACAGAACAAGTAATCCTCTGTTTCCAGGGTTGATACTATGTCCCTGTAGAACCAATATGCAATACAGGTGGTCCTTAACTTATGACCACAATTGAGCTGTTGTTAAATGGAAAATTTGTTAAGTGAGTTTTGCTCCATTTTATGATATTTCTTGCCACAGTTCTTAAGTGAATTGCTGCACTTGATAAATTAGCAACCCAGTTGTTAAATTAATTTGGCTTCCCCATTGACTTTGCTTGTCAGAAGATTATAAAAGATGATCACCTGACCTTGGGAACAGCAATGTTCATAAATATGAATCAGTTGCCAAGCATCTGAATTTTGATCACATGACCATAGGAATGCTGCAACGGTCATAACTGAAAAGTGGTCATAAGTCACTTTTCAGGTCTGTTGTAACTTTGAACAGTCACTAAATGAACTGTTGTAAATCGAGAACTACCTATATGTGCTTTGCTTCATCAGATCAGTATAAATAGGATCAAGAAATTCCTTTTGATGGATACTCATATTTTTTCTTAACTATTCCTTTATTATTTATTTATTCATTTAATTTATTTATTTGAAACCCATCTCATTCACAAGGTGACTTTGGGCAGTTTACAAAGTTAAAAAAAAACAAAAAAACAATGCATATGTATACAATCAGAATAAAACACTTCAAAAATATACTTCTTTTCTTATCTGTCCCCTGCTATTTAGTCCAGGCTCAGACAACAGCATTCCAAAAAAAGATTCTTAATGCCCATACATTCTAGACTAGGAACAAGCTTTTCCTTTTTCTGAGACTGAATCTTAATTCTTTATGTAACTTTAATCTAATCAAGTGTTCAAAAACCTCAAAAACCAAGCTGCATTCTTAAATATCATACTTTCTTCATTTCTTTATTTCTCCAAATTTAAATTTTATTTGAAAAAGGACTAATTTGATGCATATTTTTGTATATTTACTAATATACAAAAAAACTATCCTAATAATTTCTCCCACAGTCCCAAATTCAGTAATTAAATGTGTGAAGACTTAACATGGGGGATATCAAAAGAGATACATATTGAAAATAGGAAATGTTTGTGCATGGATTACAAATATTTTTTCTTTGTTAGTTGTTCCTTGTTGTTTAGGTCTGGCCTAACAATTATTATGTAACATTTTGGGAAATATATGCAGACTAGCAATCCAGCACTAGAGGCCAAAATGGAGAAAACCTCCACAGCCACCATGTATTTGCCTTTGGTGCTCAGATAAGATGGGACAAAGGAGACCCACACACAGCAGAAGATCAGCATGCTGAATGTGAGACATTTGGCCTCATTGAAACTGCTGGGGAGATTCCTGGATAAAAATGCTACTGTGAAACTGGCAGCTGCCAAAAAGCCCATATATCCCAGAACACAGTAAAACATGGTAGCTGAGCCTTCATTGCATTGCAATACAATGACCTCAATTTCTGAATGGATGTCAACATCAGCGAAAGGAGGAAATGTGAACAGCCACACCATACAGATGCCTGCTTGAATGAGGGAACAACAAAATACAATGGAGATGGCTAGTCCTCTTCCTACCCATTTTCTCATCCTGGATCCTGGCTTGGTGGCCATGAAAGCCATAACCACAATGATGGTTTTTGCCAGCACAGAAGACACAGCTATTGAGAAGATGATGCCAAAGCTAATTTGTCGGAGGAGACATATTATATTATTTGGTGCAACAAGGAACTGTAGTGAGCAAAGGAAGCAGAGAAGGAGGGAGATAAGTAGAAGGTAGGTGAGATTTCGATTATTTGCCTTGACAATGGGAGTATGGTGATACTTCAAAAATGTTGCCAGCACCACAAGTGTGCAGAGAGAAAAGAAAATTGCCAGAGCAACTAAACTTATTCCTGTTGGTTCTTTATAGGACAAGAAAGATATTTGCCTGGGAAGACATGAATCTTGATCCTTATTTGGATATTGATCTTCTGAGCATTTCAGACAGTCATCCATATCTAGAATTTAAATAGATAAACTTATATACATTTGTTCTACATTCATCCTATTATTAGTATCATTCAAAAGGGTTTTTTTTTTTTTCCTGAAAGCAAAACTGGTCTTGATATTATCCATCTGAATTTCTTCTCTCATATTTGGCACATAAGGGAGCATAGTGGAATATGGAAATTTTGTGCTAGGGAAGATAATGTCACTAAATCATGATTTCATTTCATGATACTTATTTCTGAATTGTGCTTCAAACTGTTTTCGTCTATGTATTTCTTGAGTTTTATTGTATATCAATTTTGAACAAGGAGCTCTAAAGACTATTGTTGAAAATATGAATAAAAAATAAAAATAATAGCAGTCATTGTTTAATATTTTAAATTTTTATTGTTCTGTATGAAAATATCAAACTAATGGTCAGATCCATTAATAAATATTTTGCCAAAAATAAAGGATCAAAGGTCTTCCCTCTTCTCCTTATAAGAAAAATTATGGAAGCTTTTTTAATCAGGTGGAATAGATTTTGTGAAAGTTGGTATAATATATTGTTAAAAAGGAAAAAATAATCCCAATGTAAGAGAAATTGAATATTCTACAGATAGTCTTCACATTTAGTAATTGATTCGGACAATGTCACTTCAGAATTATGTCAGTGATGAAAAAGTAACTTTTTGACCAATGCCCATATGTATGTCTATTGCAGTATTTCTTCTCACACCTTACAGTCAATTTACTGTGCCTAAACTATTTTTGTTAGCCCTCCATACACAGCACAGAGATTGCTAACTCTTCCTCAGTTCCTTTTTTCTACAGTTTAGCACTTCCCTAAAAGTGCTGACTGCAAATTAACAAGCTCACTTCTGTGATCTTAATTAATTTATTAAAACCCTCCAGCTGGATGACTCTGCAGCCCTTCAATGACAACATGCTAGCCAATCCCCCCCCCCAAGTGGTTCCTATAGGCCCACAATATACAGCATATACTGCATTGTATAATTTCTCACTTTCTTGTAATCTGTTCCTCTTCAATGAATATAAATACAAACATGAGTTCTCTTCTTGCTAAGTATCCTAGCACTGGGATGAGCATTCAAAAGGGTATGGGAGTTGGGTAAAATGTTCACATGTACTTTTTCTAAGTGATTTACTGGTTTTATCAACATTCACAATTGCAAAACTAATGAGAAAGGAACTTCTCAACCAATTCCTGCATTTTCGGCTTTACAGATGTGTAAAGTAAAGGTAAAGGTTCCCCTTGCACATTTGTGCTAGTAGTTCCTGACTCTAGGGTGCTGTGCTCATCTCTGTTTCAAAGCCAAAGAGCCAGCACTGTCCAAACACATCTCTGTGGTCATGTGGCCAGCATGACTAAACGCCGAAGGTGCATGCAACGCTGTTACCTTCCCACCAAAGGGTGCCCCTATTTTTGTACTTGCATTTTTTACGTGCTTTCAAATTGATAGGTTGGCAGAAGCTGGGACAAGTAACAGGAGCTTACCCCGTTACGCAGCACTACGGATTTGAACCATTGAACTGCTGACCTTTCAATCAACTGCTCAGTGTCTTAGCCACTGAGCCACCACATCCCTTGCTACAGATGTGTAGAGAAATAGAAAGATGAAGTAACATTGTAAAGACAGTTCCAATTGTGTCCACTCAGTGATAACCTGTACTGTATTTTTTTTATATAATCAATTCTGTTAATTCCTTGGAGTTTTTGAAAACTGCATCAAAATTTTAAATGGGAAATAATAAATTTCAGGTATTTTCAAAATAAGTTAATGTGCCCTGGAATGGTATGTGCTGGACCATCCAAGCTTATTAATGCACAAAGAATATAATTCAGCTTTTTACTTTTATGTTCATGAATCTGTCTCAAATAACCTGCACAAACATTTTTCAATTTGTTCACAAGATCTCTTACCTTTCTGGCTTGACATTTTCTCTTTGGGACATGGAAGGCAATCGTAGCAGCAAAATGGCTTCTCCTCCTGCTTTTTCTTGAAATGACCAGGGGGGCAGCTCTCGGTACACATTGAAACAGGTATGGTCTATCCAATAAATGAAAGAAAGAAAATGTTAATCATGTATTTAAAAAAATAAAATAAAAACCATTGTTGATCAATATTGCATGCTAATTGTAAGGATTTGGGATTTTTCTTCAACCTAATCATTAAAACTACTGAAGATTGATTTTTTTTTTCAGTTCTACCAATTGTATAGGTGGCATTTCTCTCTGAAACTAGGAAATATGTCAGTTTAGACCATTCCCCAATTCTGAAATTATTTTAGTGGGACTCATTACTGACTGAATTTGAATTGAATTTATGATAAATATTTTACTGCAAAGATTTATAAAGTATTGTTGAAAATGAATATGTAAATGAATCATATGAACTTTGTATATGATTAAATGTGTAATAAACTTTGAAATATAATATAATGCTTGAGCTCTGGAATAATGAGATTTACAATGCATTCTGATATGAATAACTTTTTTTTAGGTTTGATGGACAAAAATATTTTATTAAAAAATTCTGGAACTTTGTTCTTATACATGATTAAAAACAGAAAGGCTTCTTTACGACTAAAAATGGAAAGACTTACAAATGTCCATAGAATGGATAATAAAGTTACTGGAGTTGGCAGAGATGGTAAAATTGATTGGTCTACTCAACTCTACTATGTTAAAAACACTTTTGATTTTTATGCTTGAAATGAAAAAATCAAATTTAATCTTGGTGTTTGATGATTAAAACTCTTTAGGACTGTAGAAGTACTTTGTGTTATGGTATATTCTAATCCAAAGAGTTAATATATTTTTTTGCTTATATCTGTACTGAAGAAAGTCTATAGTGTTTTGTCTTTACGGCTTCCTTTTTTTCTGGACTGTACCATCTATTTTGGTTTTTTTCCCTGCATCACCCTATTTTCTTGTTATTTATATTTTATACATTTCTGAAATTTAATAAAATACTTTAAAATATTAATTAGGTAAAAGCATATTTTTAAGCATTGCATGTTCTTAACAGTCTCTCCCTATGGGAGATGAGAAGTGAAAAATGTAACAGTAACAGAGTTGGAAGGAACCTTGGAGGTCATCTAATCCAACTCCCTGCTCACGCAGGAAACCTGTACTAGGGATTCGAACCGCCAAACTGCTGACCTTTCTGATCGACAAGCTCAGTGTCTTAGCCACTGAGTCACCTGTGATAAATTAAAATAAATAAATAAATATGTGAAGTGTTAGAGAATACACATACACACACATACAACTTTGTCTTATGTCTGAGGTTGAAACTGTGGAGCATGTTCTTTTATACTGCCCTATGTATAACGCAGGCAGGACTAAATTACTGTCTCTCCTAGAAACAGATCTCTCTGGATCCAATGCTAGTAATGTGTGAGGAACCATCCCCTAAACAATTTATATTTCCTCACACATTACTTTTCAGGTTTCTAAATTCTTCTTAAGAGCTGTAACTATAAGAGGAGAATGCTGTAATTCCTCTCAGCCAAGGCTTCTGGTAGCCAACTGTTTATGATGTTACTTTCCCCACGTTCTTTTGCAATTATATTTGTATTTGGGTCTGTAACTGCAAATAAAAGTTATTATTATTATTATTATATAATAACAGATTATATATTGTCTTATAATAATAAGACAATATAATTTTGTCTTATCATTGCCTTCTTGCTGGTTGAGAAAAAATAACAGGCCCTATCTTTGTGTCCAAGATAGGACTCTAGCCTTGTGGCTTAGTCATTAAACTAAACTGGCCCTCATCCTTTAAAATGCTGTAAAAACTTTACATATCTTCCTTGTCTTTTAAAGCTTAACAGCAAAATATGCTTGGAAAACAATGCTAATTCATGTAATTAATGTTTTTTTTCAGAAATTTTGTCTTTTTACCTTGCTGAAAATTCTTCCTGGTATTTGAAGTACTGTCTGTGTTATACACTAACTCTTAGAATAGCATCCCAATCATTTCAAATAAAATAACCTACATGCAGAACCTACTTGGTTGAAAGTGCTGGGCCAGCTGATGGCTTTCTCATGAATGGTGAATTTTTGGTCTTCAGAAGCCCAGGGATCCAGCTTCCCAACTTTCACTCGATGGAAGGACTGGTTAGGGAAAGTGACCCAATTCTCAATCTGCAGTCCTGTAATCAGTTTTCCATTCTGATCAAAGGAAATTTCATCTCCAACACTGTTGTTAAATGAGACCTTTTTCAAAAAGAAGTGAAGCTGAATATGAAAAAAGAATGAAAAAAAATGGTTAATGTATAGATCCATGTGATACAATCGCAATCATTTTACTTGAAAATTTAAATGTGTGGCAGACTGTACCTACTCTGAGGTCCTTTTATTCATGTTAAGCATAATTATCTGTGAGCTTTATCCAAAATCGCTCTATAATAGTCTACTAAGCTTCAATAATTTAAAGAATCCAGTGCCAGAAAACCATATATGTTTTATTATGCAAAAATATATCTTATTGTGAAAATATCAAATAAATATAATCAAGGCTGCATTATTTTTTGTAAGAACTTTAAGAAGCTACTGCTTTGTTTTCAAGAAGAAAACTGTTCAGGAATATCAGATCATTTTAATATCTAAAGTAACTTGTAAAATTAAGCAGCTGTAAAAAGAAGGAGGCAAGCTTGGACTTACTTTTCAATATTATTATTTTTATTAATATTATTTTTCTCAGATACTTTCAAAATCACTACATAAGAAATTCACTATTATCTGTATGGGAAAAAAATAAAAACTAAGATTTATTTGAAAATCCCAGAATAGCTCTCAACAGTGGAAGTGTTTACATATCCAAATCTGGTGAGGTTTGAAAAAATTGTGACATATAAAGACATTTTGGACACTGAAGGGAAATTAAAATCTAAGTAAGAGCTTGAAGACCAGAGTATTAAATTATCATGGTGTCCTCAATTGCAAATACAATCGAGATATGATTTCACAACATGAAAACGTATGGCTTTTATAAAGGACAAACAGCCTTCAATCAGATATTGTTGAATTCTGATGAAAAACTAATTAAGAAAATATATAATTTCTTACTAAATTGGGAAATGGAGGATGAACAAGTAAAAGACAATATGGTACAGTGGAGGGAATAATATAGAATTAGAGAAATGACAAAACTTATGGGAAAGAAACTATAAATTAACAATGGCAACTTCTTATAAAGAAAACTTATATAAAATGTTTTATAGATGGCATTTACCACCTGCTAGGTTAGCTAAAATGTTTAAAAATATGTCTAGCAAATGTTGGAAATGTAACAAAAAATGGGCACATATTATCATATGTGGTGAACCTGTGTAAAGCAAAAGAAATTTAGGCAAAAATACATAAGTGGTTAGAAAAGTTGATAGGAAAACATGTAAATTTTAAATCTGAACTTTTTCTATTAGGTATAGCAACAGAAAAATTTGATAAGTAAAATGTATATTTAATATTGCATGTATTAACAGCAGCTAGAATTATATTTGCACAATATTGGAAAAATGAAGAAATATCATGAGATGAAGAGATAATTAGGAAGATACTGGATTATGCAGAAATGAAGATTAAATAGAAAGAAGATACAGAATATTATCAAACATGGATTTTATTCTACCAGTGGTTGGAAAAAGGGGGTGGAGATTAAGAATGTAATCTGTATTGCTAAGCAAATAAATTAACCCAGACAACACGATGTTTATTAAGGATTAACAAAATGGAAAGAATAGAAAATTAATAAAACTTTAAAAAAAATTATCTTTCTCTAAATGTAAAAAATGTTTTAAAAAATCTGCCATTGCTACATTTTGATTCATTAAAAGTCAAAATATTGTTTTCTATCTAGCACGAAGGCAAAGCCATGTAGCTACAAAGGGATTTTTATCTTGAATGATCAAATATAAACTTCTACCTCTACCAGCTCTTACACTGATTACAAGTTTCCAATGGACAGTATTTACTATTTTGAGCCCATACATCTATTGACTAGGAGTTTCTCAACAGGAATACTCAACTTGAGCAAACCTTTCTTGTGTCTTTTAGCAGAAATAAAATTTATTATGGAAAATTGTTTCTGTACATGAGTATGTGATGAGGAGAGGAATAGGCAAACCATATATCTCCAGTTTATTGTCTCAAGAAGAAAGCTAGAAAATAAATCTGATGGGAATTTCAAAGCAAAAAGAAAGCCATTGAAACTACCAAAATAGGAAAAAATAGATAAAGAAGAAACTAGAAGACAATAATTTTCCATTCTTATGGAAGTTGAGAACTACCTATACTAATTTTCTATCTACATCTCACTATTTTTTGTGATCTAAAAGTTGTGAAATACTGGATTGGCAATGCAATTCAAATTCCATTTCTAAAATCTTTGATTATTCATAGAATTACCTGCCATGACTGCAAATGATTGCCATGACTCTGAAGACTGAGTTTTTTCCCATTCATGTTTCTCTTATATTGTTGGCCCAACTTCATGGCATGTAAAGCATGAGCTACAACATATATTGCATTGTATATACTGTAACTATGACTGCTCATCTTCATTTCAAAAAATGCCCCAGGCAGGCTCTCCAATTTCTCCTTTCCTATACAGACATCCTCTATTTCTTCATTCCCAGGTAGACTGGGAAACACACAGCCAAATGCTTGTTCCCACACATCTTTGAGGAAACCATCCTCTTTTGAGGAGAAATAGTCTCTTGTCTGAAGAAAATGTTGGAACCCTTCAACTTCATTTGAGTAAGCTCCAAAGGTCAGAGCCCCATGGAGGACTTGGATATCCCAGCTTTTTTGATAAAAGAATGATGCAAGACTCTTTTGGGAAGCCACAATCCACACCTTACCTTTTGGCTTTATAGAAACTATTTCCATTTCAGGTAGGCGTAACAACCATCTTACATTTAAGAGATTCTCATCATGAAGTATTACAACATTAGCTTTGCTTTTAACAAGAAAGTGAAAGGTTTCAACAAGCCATTTCAAAATATCAAAAAAATTGTTGATATAAATTGATCTCAATTGCTCCACGAAGGCAGTGCAGATGCCATGGAGAGGAAACATTGAGAAGATTAGATGATCAAATGTTCTTCCTCTAAGTCTTTTTGTAAGTACCCCAATCCAAGTCCATCTGAAGTGTAAGAGTAGTTGAATAATCCCCCTGTAATGAAGTTCTTCATCTGCAACCATGTGGTAGTAGAAAGGGCTTTCATTTGGTGAAGAAACAGTTGGGAACTATGAAAAATATTAGGTAGATAAGTAGAAAAAAATAGAGAAAAAAGTAGACAAGAAAAATATGTTTGAGAAAAGAAAGTGTAGATCCTCTCTAAATTAATAATCTTGAAGTATGTCAGCAAATATTTTCATATAATTCTGTGCACAAAATACTTAAGAGATTATGATTGGGTATATTATCCTTGTGTTCCCTTTCACATCTACATTTCTATGGTTATTTGGATTGTCAACTTCTGATTTTGCTTCCATAAGAACAGTGACATCTGAATTCCTCTTGGTTTATTATTTATTTATGTATTTATTTAGTTACTTGGAGTTCTTTTACCTTGCCCTATATTGAAATATATATTAAGAAACTATCCTCTTAATTATTTAACTCAAAATTTTAAATATATTTTCCAACTACGTTCCTAACAAAATTTAAAATGTATTTTTGCTTTACCCTACTTTAGACTTTTATGAACTACAATTGCTTATGTGCTTCTTGAATGTTAAATTAGTCAGCTGTGATACTGCATAACCAAAGAGAATCCTGCCAGATTCTCTTCAAGTTCTTCTCAAGTTAAGATGAGATATTAGGGAAAGGGACAAAACATCTAATGGGATTATAGCAAGGGTTTTTCTGCTGTACTGTAAAGGATACGAAGAATTCTGATTTAGCTCATATTGCATTTACTGCTATCATTCATCTTTGTTCTAAATTCAAAAATACTTTTTCCTTTTAGTGAAATATATTGCTCATCAAAATTAGTAGCTGAATAACAGATCTGTGAAAAACTAGAAGCTAATAAATTATAACTAGTAGCCAGCACAGGTTTGTTAAAAACAGATCTTGCCAAACAAATCTTATTTCAATCTTTGATAAAGTCACTAAATTAGTACACCAGCAAAATGCTGTGGACATAGTGTACTTAGATTTCAGTAAGGCATTTCACAAAGTAGACAACAATCCACTTCTTTGTAAGCTAGAGAAATGTGGAATAAACAACATCACTATCTGATGGATTTGTAGCTGGCTGGCAAACCATACTCAACAAGTATTTGTTTAGTACTACATCCACATGGAGAAAAGTAAATAGTGAGGCATCACAAGACTCCGTCTTAGGCCCCGTACTCTTCAATATCTTCATAAATGACTTAAATGAGGGACTAGAAGGGGGATTCATCAAATTTGCAGATGACACTAAACTGATAGCCAATGCCCAGAAGACCAAAAAGATATTGACAAACTTGAACAATGGATGAAAATTCAACAAAATGAATTTTAATGTGGAGAAAAGCAAAGTTTTACATTCAGGCAGGAAAAATCAAAGGTAAAAGTATAGATTAGGTGAGACATGGCTCAAAAACAGTAACTATGAGAGGGATCTTGGAGTCCTAGTGGATGATCACTTGAGTATAAGGCAGCAGTGTGCAGCAGCAGCCAAAACAGTTAATTCAATCTGGGTTTGAATAAATAGAGCATGGTAAGAATTTGATCTTAATGAATATAAATAATTGGGACCTGATGGATTACATCCCAGAATTCTGAAGGAGCTGGAAGATGTTATCTCAGAAATAAAAGAACTGATGTGGTTCCCTTCTTGAAAAAAGTAAAACAAACAAACAAATCAGTCTAACATCAATACCTGGGAGGATACTGGAAAAAAATAAAAATAGATTTGTGAATATCTAGAAACAAATAAAGTTATATCTAATGGCCAGCATGATGAACTTGTTAAAAATAGATCATGCGAAAACAATTTTATTTCATTCTTTGACAAAGTGACTAAATTAGCAGACCAGCGAAATGCTGTGGACATAGCATATTTAGATTTTAGGAAGGCATTTGACAAAACAGACAACTTCTTGGTAAGTAAAACATATGAAAAACAGTTGCAGAATTTGGGTTTGGCTAGTCAAGAGAAAAGAAGGACTAGGGGGGGGGGGGCATGATAGCAGTATTCCAGTATTTGAGAAGCTGCCACAAGAGGAGGGGGTTAAATTATTCTCCAAAACACCAGAGGGCAAGAGACAAGAAACAATGAAATGGAAGCTAATCAAGGAGAGAAGCAACCTGGAATTAAGGAAAAACTTCCTAATAGTGAGAACAATTAACCAGTGGAATTGCTTGCCTTCAGAAGTTGAGAGTGCTCCATCACTGGAGATTTTTAAGAAGAGATTAAACAGTCACTTATCTGAAATGCTATAGGTTCTCCTGCCTGAGCAGTGGGCTGGACTAGAAGACCTTCCAACTCTATTCTATCTAACTTTCCAATATGGATTCTTTCTTGTTCATAACTTACAACAAACTTCTTCTTGATTGACAGCTATATTCTATTAATTTTTATTATGATAATCCCAGCTTCAAAGGAGTATTATTAATAAATTCTGGATGAAGAACAAAAAGACTCTAATGAAAATCCTCAGCCATGGTGGCTTAATGGTTAATTTTGTGCGAGTCTCACTTTTTATTTGAGGGACAAAACATATCAGGAAAGATTAATGGAACTATGTACATTGTACAGCCTGGAGACAGAAGGAAAAGTGGGAGAGCAAAACCTGAAAATGACAGGAGCGAAATTCACTTTTTTATAAAAAGTGTAGTGGAGGTTTGGTCCCAACTTCCAGTGCAGGTAGTGGGTGAATAATCAATAACTGAGCTAAAACATGCTTGAAATAAACATGCATCCATCATCTAACAAAAAATTAAAAATTAAAAATCTCTAAAGGCAGACTTGATGGACCACTAGGTCTTTTTCTGCTGTCAGTTTAATAGGTTCATAGAAACATGAAGTATAAACCTACTTCAGCTGATAGTGGTAGAATAAAATACAGGTGAGTTCATGAGATTGTGTCACTTTGTCACATGCTGTTTCAATTAGTGACCCTGACATCCAAATTAACTATAACTATCTTGGTCCTGCAATCCATTGCAGTTTGAAAAGACCAATCCAATCCATTTTACCTGTGGAACTTTGTAAGTATCTAAAATATCTACTAAAGAGATTCCAGGATCAATAGACCCAACAACCGATATCAGTTTGTTCAGGATGCCACACTTGTAATTGGGAACAAATCTGTTCTCATTGGAAAAAAGTTCCATTTTGGCATGATAGCCAGCATACTTATCATATATTCGGAAGCCCAAGGTGATGTTAGGTAAGAGCTGGAGGTCTTCATTGATCTTCTTCACAGCAAATATCATTATCAAGATATGATGATAATACTTAGTCAGGATTCTGCAAAGGAAATTAGATGCGGTATCAAATGAAATTGTGCATCTAAAAAAGTCAGTAAAACTAAACCTAGTATGGGGGGGGGAGTCTTTGAAATTAATAATAATTTCATGTCAACTGATTAATAAATTAAGTTCCATCAAAAAATGCTGTAATTCCTATGTTAAAGGAAAGGACTGGAAGGTCAAGGCGAAGGGATTCTTTCTTATCAGAATCTGCTAGCAATGATTACTTTGTTTCCTTCTAATTTTATTTAAAGAACATAGGTTGTAGATGATGGTCCCTTCAGAAAGTACAAGAAAAAAAAGTAAGCTCAAAACCATTATTCAATAGTTAGAAATATTATTTTTAATCAAGTAGCTAATTATAACACATAGAGCAGATGTACTAAAGAATATGACATTAGCAGTAGAAGCAGCAATGTCTTCATGATGAATATTAATCCCAGTTTGACAAAGTTTTTCTCATTTTCTTATAATGCTTGACTTTAAAACATTATATGGAAATGAGAGAAACTTTGTCCCTATTTTCTAAAATATTTAATTGTCCATCAAAACTTACTCCTTATTCTTCCCAGTATAATAATGGATTAAGAATTGCAGAGTGAGGATTTTACCCATAAAAGAATATAGAGAATATGTGGTTCTCCTGCCTCTACTCCTTCATCTACTCCTCAGAAAAAAATACTTTAGTTCATAAGAATATTACTCCTCTATTTAGTTCATAAGAATATTATTTCTGTGCATGTACTGATAGCATAGCATACTTTATTGCGGTCATAGACCAAAAAACCAAAACATCCAAGGCATGTAGCTGGCACACGATAAGACTGAAATGCAAAACAACAACAAGATCAGGGGTAGAAAAACCACTCCGTCAAGCTCATAGTTCATGTGTTATAAAATTTTTTAGCTACAATCTATATGAACTATGGTCGATTAAAATTATACATAGTAGAAAATACTATATTGCAATTTGCATAAAATCCACACATCGGTACTTTATACAACCACCAGCTACATGTACTGATATAAAATATGCTGCATCGAAGATTGTTATTCCTTTGGTTCAACACTATGTCAAATCTTCCATAGATTCAATTCTAAAAGCTCATGCTGCAATTCCTTTGGATGGGAGTGGGAGTGGGAAGATTCTCATCTTGTCAGTATCTAGGAGTCATGAAATATTGAATAATTTGTATGAATTTTTAAAAAATTATTTAAGGAACATAGGTTCTAGCTGTTGATTTCCTTCACAAGAGTACAAGAAAATAATTTTAAGTGAAAAATATATCATTTATACTTTGCTGGAAAATATTATTTTATAATAATAATTATAAAATAATAATTATATATGCCAATAATTAATTATGGCATATAGAAGAAAGGTACTAAACAATTTTATCTAGATAAACTATAGATTATAAAAAGAAAGTTATGTCTTACAGAGATTCACCCACAGTTGAATGATGGGGATCTTTCTCAAAGCTTCCTACATCTCTAGTTATGAAGACAAAAGAAGTCATGCCACCAATGATTAGGTCACCTGGTTGGAAATATTTGTGATCAATGGGGATAGGATCTTGGATGCTGCATTTTATTGGTTGAGACTTGCAAGCCATAGCTGTAGGAGAAGGCAATAGCAGTAGCAGAAGATTCAATATTATAATAATCCCAGTTTGACACATTTTCTATTGTTGGCATGAAATTCTTAAGGGTCCCCAAAATTGGATGACCTTGAACAGAATCTGTTCCTCACACGACATCCATTCTGAAATGAATATTGACAGAGAGGTGTTTCTAAAGAATAACTAAGATTATTTCATCTGTCCCCTAATTTTTAAAATATTTAATTGTCCATCAGCATTTAGTTCTTATCCTTCCAAGCATAATAATTTGCCAATTAGAGGTTTGAGGAACAGCAAAGTTAATAATAGTTTTTTTGATAATTATAAGATAAAGAGGAAATTCCAACCTTCACATTTTTATTGAAATAGTAAGGGTATGTCATCATGTAATGACAGAAAAGTTTTTGAGACAAGCTAAAATTAATCATGGCAAAGTTGGAAGTATTCCTGCTACATTCAAAAGCCAGACCATCTTTATTCTACCTGTGATCCAAATATATATATACATATAATATATATATATGTATATACACACACACACACACACACACACACACACACACATATGTAGGTCTTTGGTTATTCGGGTCTTCTCCCACGTAAAATTGGAAGTGTCTTGGCGACGTTTCGACGAAGTCTCATTCGTCATCTTCAGGCTGGTGTTCTCGGCTTCGTGCTTCCAGGAGCCAAGACACTTCCAATTTTACGTGGGAGAAGACCCGAATAACCAAAGACCTACATACAAATATATATATATATATATATATATCAGAATACTTTGTACCTTTTTGCATCTCTTTGAAACAAAGTGTATTTTTCCATTTGCAGCTGCCTTCTCACCTGCAGTATATCCTAGGACAGTGATGGCTAACCTTTTTGCCATCGCGTGCCAGGACGGGAGAGCAGGAGAGGTTCATGCATACGTGTGGCCACACTCATAATTCTATGTGCCCCGCCCTGCACATGCATGCGCAACCCCCTCCCCCTCCTGCTCCTGGCATGTGATGGCCCTGTAATCCCATTTTTCTTTCTCACCTGGCTCCAGATCCTCTCTATGCATCTGGGGAGGATGAAAACAACCTTCCCCACCCCCTTGGAGGCCCTCTGGATGCCTGAAATGGCCCATTTCTCAACTCCCGGTTGGACAGGAAGTGAAGTTTTTTGCTGTCCCCAGTCTCCAGAGCCTCTCTAGGAGTCTCTGGAGGCTGGGGACAGCAAAAAAAGTCACTTCCTGTCCAACTGGGAGTTGGGAAGTGGGCCGTTTTAGGCCTCTGGAGGGCCTCTGATTGGGTGGGGAAGGCTGTTATCACCTTCCCCAGATGCATAGAGGGGATCTGGAGCCAGGTGAGAAAGAAAAATGGGCCTTTCCCACCCCACCCACCCAGGCCCGCTGGAGGCAGGAAACAGCCTGTTTCCCAATTTCTGGTGGGCCCAGAGGCCCGAAAATCAGCTGGCCAGTGCACGCATGTGCACCAGAGCTGAGCTAGCATGCCCACTAATATGGCTACGTGTGCCACCTGGCACGTATGCCATAGGTTGTCCATCATGGTCCTAGGCAGTTCTCCTTGGCTTAGTGAGGTGTTTACACATTATTATCAAGAAGAGAAAAGCAGAATAGCAATAGCAACAGACTTATATATCACTTTTACAGTGCTTTACAGCCCTCTCTAAATGGTTTACAGAGTCAGCATATTGCCCCCAACAATCAGGGTGAGCCGTCAGCAGATGTAGCAACTGCAGTACTGCAATCTAACCACTGCGCTACCATGGCTCATATTGTCAATGATCATAAAAACAAATCTTACAGTAGGAACTGTAAATTGAGATATCCATAGTCCTTGAATTTGCTAATCATCTTTTAAATTGAAGAGCTGTTCTTGTTTGTTTAATCCTAGCATACATGACTATCTAATTAAGAAACAGTTCTTAAGATAGCATTTAAGACGATCTTAAAATTTATGTTTCTAAGAAAAATGCTTCTTAAATATTTGTATTTATATTTGTATTTATTAGTTTGTCAAACATGTACAAGATAGCAAGTATCAATATGAACATTGACATGAATGAGAGAAATGAATATAAATAAATGGGGACAGTAGGACAGGGACGGTAGGCACACTGGTGGGCTTATGCACACCCCCTTTACAGACCTCTTAGGAATGGGGTGAGGTCCATGGTAGATAGTTTAAGGTTGAAGTTGTGGGGGTTAGAGGATGTAACAATGGACTCAGATAGAGCATTCCAGGCGTTGACCACTCTGTTGCTGAAGTCGTATTTTCTGCAATCGAGTTTGGAGCAGTTTACCTTGAGTTTGTACTCAATATCTTAAATGTCTCAAAACAGTTTATGCTTAAATTTGAACTGCACAAATCACATTCAGACAAAGGAAACAGATAACCAATAATCAAAGTAATATGCTAATCAATATTAAACAAATCTATAAAAATAGATGTTATTAAGAAGAGCAAAAGTGCAGCTTCTTCTGAAGATTTTTGATATCTCATTGTATAAACTCAGAAAATGACTGAGAAGACCTGGTTCCAAATCACAGGATGAACTTGTACCAACTGAAAATGGATCTATCCCCAAAATCTTGCAGATCATGATATGAAAAAATATAAATACAGTAGCTGGGGAAAATCCCTATTGGCATACATGAACAAAATATACATATTCCTCAATATTTCCTTTTATCAATTTTGTCTGAAATCTCCATTTATGCACACACACACACACACACACACACACACACACACAGAGAGAGAGAGAGAGAGAGAGAGGGAGGAAGGGAGGGAGGGAGGGAGGGAGGGAGAGAGAGAGAGAGAGAGAGAGAGAGAGAGAGAGAGAGAGAGAAACAAACAAACACACACAGAGTTGTGTGTTTATGTGTATAAATACACAGATAACTTTTAATTTTAGGGTCTGGCTGTTTGGGACAACCCCACCCCTACTCCCTGCACCTCCTTTGTTTCCAAGAAAAAAAAGAAATCGAAGGAAGGGAGAAGAAGAGAGAGCTAAACACACACACATACACACACATAGACGAGATGAATCCAAAGTCAGAGGGAGAAAACTCTCCCCCCTCCAGCCTCCTCCTCTCCCACATGACTGCTTCTGAACTAAAGACAGCATCGAGCAGGGAAGCCAGAGCAGGAGAGATCAACTACCAGCCAGAGCAATGTCAGCCTTGGAGATTTAGCTTTCAGCTCCCCTTTTTCTTTCTTCCTTCCTTTCTTGCAAGGGACAGGAACTGTGTTTGGTTTGCAGGGTCTGAGGTTTACTTTCCCTTTCTGCCTTTGCCCACTTCCCAGCCAAGGAATGTTGCTTCTTTTGCTGCCTCCTCTTCTTCCTTCCTTCCTTCCTTCCTTCCTTCCTTCCTTCCTTCCTTCCTTCCTTCCTTCTTTCTCTGCCTCTTTCTCATTCCCATCTTGTTCCAGAGAGTTTAGCATTGCTGTCAGTGGCCATGTTTATTGCAGGTGTGGCTTTCCCATGTGGGGTGGGGCGGGGGTGGTCCTAGTGAAAGGGAAGCAGCACAAGCTGCCAGACCAGGCCAGCAAGTAGGCCATGGAGGCACTGGTGGCGGCCACGGCGCTGATCTATAACTGGATGGCGGCCATCCAGCCTGGAACATAGTCAGCCTTAAATCTGCAAGGAAGCCCTTGACCCAGCAAGAAGTCAATCTCTCTGCTTCAGCCCCACCCCCACAGGAGGAGGTTAGAACCCAGGGTGGGGCTGAGGCAGTAGGATGGTTCCTCACCGGCTGCCCCACAGATCTAAGGCTGACCATGTTCCAGGCTGGATGGCCCCCATCCAGTTATAGATTAGCACCTGGGTGGCCTGGCCCAGGGCTGAGGCAAAGGGGGCCAGTCCTTTGCTTGTCTCAAGGGCAGCCCGGCATACCAGATCTAGCCACATGGCAGGCTGGATTCAGCCCATGGGCCTTGAGCTTGACATCCCTGAACTAGACCAAACTGCTTCATTTCCCCACCAAATAGTCACAACCTTCAGACCATATGAAGGGCAGCAACGGCAACATTCAGACCACCTCAGATAGAGATGAAGTTGCCCTTCCCCAGGAGAAAACAGATGATCCTGAACAAGACCAATAGGTGATCCTAAATGGATTTAATAATAGTGGAGAAAATACTGTTTCACCACTTACTGCCACAAGGTAGGCCTTAATTGTAGTTCTGACCCATATCCAGTCAGATTCATCCCTCATTTTCCTCCAGCAGCAGTCTAGGAATTTATTGGCCTCTCTCAACACCTTGAAATCCTCCATAAACCACAAGGAGTGCTGAGAGTGGTGGGTGAAGAATGGTTACATAGGCACATTCTGATTCATAGCCTCAGATGCCCTCTGATTCCAGGTTGCAGCAAGAGAATTGGTAGAACCATGCAGCAAAAATTCCAGGGTATCCCTGAGTTCCCTTTGGAACTTGGCTCCTTCAATCACCAGAAATAGCTGTTCGAATGAGTCAAACCACTCTGCAGAATAGGGTAACATACGAGAGCCCTAAGTATGAAGAATGATCTGATCAAGTTGGGGGATAAGGAGAGCTCCCCCATTAGATCATGTTGCCATTGCTCTGACAAAAAGAAACATATCTGGAGTGTGGCTACTGTCCTGAATCTGGCCATGGATGATCTGGGATAGGTCCGTGTCTGCCATGATGGCCATAAACTGAGCCACTTCTGAAACCAACCCTAGGGATGGAAGTTTGAAATATCATAGGACCTGAAGAACTTCACTGCCATGCCTGAGATAACTTCTAGCAGCTGAGACAGGAAGGTTGCTATAGTATATCAGCAATTCCAAATGATCAGAAATGCAGGTCAGCTTGCATTTCTCCAATGAGGTCATGAATAAAGGGAGCTTTATTATTTATTAAATGACCCTGAATTTACCAGAGCAGCTGAACATCCAGCCTGCTGAGGGTTTGTTAGGTGGGGCTGGAGGCTGGAGGTATCAAACATTTTCCCTGTAATAGTAGGATGTATCAAATTTTTCAACTTTCAATATCCAAACATTAGGAGTGCTCAAAAGTCGTAACATGCCTTGGGGATTGTAAAGATATTTTGGTTACTTTAATATAATTTAGATGTGCTTGATAAATAACTACATAAATATCATAACTTTTTAATATTTTGTTTGTTTCATTTCACAGGTTCAGCTGTCTTTTTCTTTTTGTTAAATATTATTTTGTCTGAGAGTGTTCATACTGCTGGCCTTGTTTCCTGTGAGTGTGATAACTAATCTGTAATGGCTTCTAAAAAAACAAAACTGGGACATTCATCCATATGAGCAACCTAACTGGGACTGGCAGAGACTATTTTCGCATGATCTATTTTTAACAAACTCATCACTAGATATAACTTTATTTGTTTCTATCAAAGTCTGTAGCTATTTATTTTATTTATTTATTTATTTATTTTAAATTTATATACCGCCCTTCTCCCTGAGGACTCAGGGCGGTGTACAGCCAGAATTAAAAAACATAAAATACAAATATTAAAAAACAATTAATATATATATAAATTTGGCCCAAAATTAAAAATACAAACCAATTAAAACATTTAAAATTTCTTCTTAAGCCAGCCCGGCTTGCTGGAAAAAGTGGGTTTTAAGGGCACGGCGGAAGGCACTAAGGTCTTGGATTCTCCTTATCTCTGGGGGCAACTGATTCCAGAGGGTAGGTGCCCCCACAGAGAAGGCCCTCCCCCTGGGGGTCACCAGCCTACATTGTTTGGCTGATGGCACCCTGAGGAGGCCCTCTCTGTGGGAGCGCATGGGACGATGGGAGGTCGTCGGTAGCAGCAGGCGGTCTCGAAGATAGCTAGGCCCGATGCCATGGAGCGCTTTAAAGGTGACAACCAGCACCT